ATCGGCCCCCCCGACCCCAAAAAGGTTCCCCGCCCTGGCCCTAGACACACATAGATGGTGCCACGGGACCGCAGACCAGCATGTCCTTCCTGTCCATCTCACCTGGCGATTCCACTGTGTCCATGGAAACAGCCCCGCTCCGCCAGCCCCTTTGGCTCGACCCCTTCCCAGGGAAGGCCGGCTGGGCATCCGGGCCCTAGGCTGGTCTACATTTCCCTGCAAGAGCTGGGGGCGTTTGCTCCATTCGGCAGGTGTCTGCGAGTGGCACGAACAGACCAGCATGTCCTTCCTGTCCATCTCACCTGGCGATTCCACTGTGTCCATGGAAACAGCCCCGCTCCGCCAGCCCCTTTGGCTCGACCCCTTCCCAGGGAAGGCCGGCTGGGCATCCGGGCCCTAGGCTGGTCTACATTTCCCTGCAAGAGCTGGGGGCGTTTGCTCCATTCGGCAGGTGTCTGCGAGTGGCACGAAGCCGGCGCGCTCAGCAGCGTGCATCCAGGCAAAGCGTCCTTTACAAGAACACGGCACGGCACAGTGCAGCCAGCCGCTAAGACAAGCTGACGCTGCCTTTGTCCTCCGCGTGGCACATGCTGTATTAAACAGAGCGTGGTTAAAAAAAAAAGATGAAGAAGAAGGAGGTTAATGTGAAGGGAAACAATTGCTCACGGGATTAGCCATTCTCGGTACAAAACGCCTCGTACCCAGGTAGCCGCCAGATAACCACGGAGAGAGTCCAGCACAGCCGGGCTGAGACCACCTCCTCCGCCAGAGAGAGGTAACCCAAAGCCCTCGGCAGCCCTGGCCTCCTGTTGACAGCAGCAGCTTCATCACTGGGGCTAATTGCTGTGTAGCTCGTTGGCCCAAATCAATCTTTGCTGGAGCTCTACGTGAGGCCTGTGCGGGCGAAAACCTTGCAGGACTGGGGAGCTGTAGAACTAATCTCAGGCCTTGTCTACACTGGCATGGGTTTTAGCGCCAAAATCTGCCTTGTGGCGCCAAAACAATGAACACGTACACACTGCAATGCAATGTTTGCTGGGGAAAATACACCGTTTTGGTGACAAAAAACGTCCAGCCCTACAAAGGACTTTTGTTTTGTCCCCTCCCTTTATTGTCGATAAAGAGCCAATGTGGACTCTGCTGTTTGTCTTGGTGAGAGAGCTGGCATCTGCCAGTATCCCACCATGCCTGCCCTGAGCTCAGTGTTCTGTGATCTCTGCTGCCCTGCAGGCATGCCCCTCTTCCTTTTCAAAGTTCTGGGAAGTCGCTGACAGTTGAGTGAGCTGCTCCGTGTGGGGAACAAATAACGAGCAAATCATTGGACTGCTCCTGTTCCGCCCAGCTAGGAACACTGCTGCAGGGCGAGGGCCGGAGAGAGACGGCAGAGCTGCTTTGACACTCCTCAGCATGGAGCACTCAGAGCTACTCATGATGCTGCTCCCAGCAGCGGAGGAGTCAGTAGGAGACCACGGAGAGAAGCGTCGGGATCAATTTGGCCTTCCCACCACACTGCCTTGTGGGATGCTTCCCCACAATGCTTTGCTCCATCTGGCCACAGGGGAGCGAGCCATGTGGCCATGAAATGTCGACAAGGGGAGGTAGAAAAACCGGTTTGACCATTTTTCACTTGTGCCGACCTTTGCATGACGAGACTACTTTTGTCACCAAACCGTCCCGTGTAGACACGGCCTGAATCGTGCTGACCAGCGACCACTGAGTTCTGCAGGGGCCCTGAAGGGCAGGAAGCATACTGCACGAGCGCTGCTGGTTCCTATGGCAAGTACAAATGCTCTTGACTTGTTGCCGTTGCAGCTATCTGGAAATGCAAAAACTTGCGTTGGCCCATATAGAGCAGGTACTCCTGGGCCTCATTACTCGTTTTTCCAGTCATGGCACATGCAGGCTGTCGGAAAATGTTGGTCCTCATGACCAGCCTAGCTTTTGGTGGAATCCTCATGCAAAAACTCATAGGAGGAAAAACCATGCGTGTGCCCAGCAAGGTGAGGTCTACGTGAGCTCTGTGGCAATGAGCTGCAGCCTTCCGAAACGAGTGTCTCATAGAACACTAGAATGGGGAGGGACTCCGAGAGGTCATCACGTCCAGCCCCCTGCCCTCACGGCAGGGCCAAGCACTGTCTAGCTCATCCCTGGCAGATGTCTATCCTCCCGGCTTTTAAATATCTCCAGAGATGGAGATTCCACAACCTCCCTCGGCAATTTATTCCTGTGCTTAACCACCCTGACAGGAGATTTTTTTTCCCCTAATGTGCAACCTAAACGTCTTGCTGCAGTTTAAACCATTTGCTTCTTGTCCTGTCCTCAGAAGCCAAAGAGAACAACTTGTCTCCCTCCTTGTAACACCCCTTTAGGTACTTGAAAACCGCTCTCCTGTCCCCTCTCAGTTGTCTCTTTTCTACACTAAACAAGCCCAATTCTTTCAGTCTTCCCTCCCAGCTTGTGGTTTCTAGACCTTTCATCATTTACTGTTGCTCTTCTCTGGACCTTTTCCAGTTTCCCCACGTCTTTCTAGAAATGCGGTGCCTAGAACTGGACAAAATACCATTGAGGCCTAGTCAGCGCAGAGCAGAGCGGAAGAACGACTCCTCGTGTCTTGCTCACCACACGCCTGTTATTGCCTCTCAGAATCAGCTTTGGGTTTTTTTTGCCAGAATGTCCCACTGTTGACTCATTTTAACCTGTGGCCCACTCTGACCCCTCGATCCCTTTCCGCAGGACTCCTTCCTGGACCGTCGCGTCCCATTCTGCGTGTGCGAAACGATTGTGCCTTCCTAAGGGGAGCACTTTGCATTGGTCCTTATTGAACGCCATCCTGTTCGCCTCCGACCATGTCTCCAGTTTGTGGTTTTGCCGATCATTGCATGGAAACCAGCCCCGAGCCGAATGTGAAATCGGGGGACCAGCCAAGATCAGCTCCGGCAAGCGCAAGAACTGGGCCGCATGCCTATTTACCACGGCAGCACACTATTCCAATGGCTCTTCTCCCTCCTCGCCCCCCAAGCGCATTGCTCTGAGCTCTCCCTCCTCTGTCCCCCCCCAGGATTCAGCCCGTGCTGCTGGTGCCGATTCCACCTGTCCCTGCTGTGCCAGGAGAAGGGGCAGCCCAGGGCTCTGTGCCACGCCTGCTTTTATCTTGGTTGTGATGTTACATTTTTATGCTTTGACCTTTCAGGCTTTGATCTTTCTCTTTCTTTGAAACTCGGTGGTTTTTAGCACCATATCGACTTTTTAAATTTCTTATCCTCCCCGCGACCCAGTTGAAAGCTGTCAGAGCCTCCCTGGTTGATACAAAGGTAATGGGAAGGCATTAATAATCCAAGGGTGCCGTGGCAGGCTGTCCTTGCATGGTGAAGACGGAGGTGTGGAGGCCTGGTTTCTTTGTGCCTGATGGACAGCCATCACGTTCGCTTGCTCCAATTTCCCCTTTCCTACAGCCCTCATGCAGACGTTCGAGACACCAGGCCTTTGAAAGTGCGAGTCTTTTCATCTATGTTTAATATCTGCACTAGCAGGGCGGTATTAGCTGCTGGAATTTAAATAGCTTCTGTAGGCGAGTAGCTTTGCAGGGCATTGTTGCCAACGCCTCTCTCTGCGCAGGAAGAACCAATACAAGACACAGATTCTTTTTTAATAGGGAGCAGGTTTAAAACAGAGGGAGGTATTTCTTCATGCCGCACACAGTCAACCTGTGGAACTCCTTGCCAGAGGATATTATGAAGACCAGGATTTTAACAGGATTCAAAAAAGAACTAGATACATTCATGGAGGTTAGAGCCATTAATGGCTAGTAGTCAGGATGGGCAGGGATGGTGTCCCTAGCCGCTGTCAGACGCTGGGAATAGGGAGGAATCACTGGACGATTCCCTGTTGTGTTCACTCCCTCTGGGGCACCTGGCATTGGCCACTGTGGGCAGACAGGACCCTGGGCTAGATGGGCTCTGGTCTGACCCAGTCTGGCTGTGCTTATGGGCTTATATTCTTCTATTTTCAATGTCGGCTAGCGCCACTGGATGAATGGGGCCCTGTGAGGGGACATCAGACTGCACCTGAGGAGACACATTGCTGAGACGCACCTTGTCAGCGCCACGTTACCACATCACCATCGTGCCACCGCTGAAAACGGCCCTCGGGCGCTGTGCATGCGCCTCGCGAGACACGGGCCTGAACCTGCAGCACAGAGCGGAGCAGGGCCCCCCGCCGGCCAGGCCCCACCACAGGGCCTGCTGCTTGACGACCTGCTCAGTAACGCGTGGCTGGCTTTTCCGCGGGCGCGGGAGAGGGCCGCTTTCCGCCACGGCCCGTGGCG